GAATCGATTCGTAAGTAGTTTTTTTGGTGATTTTACAGAATTGTCTGTTATGTCATTCCTTGTGATTTACATCATCTGATGTCACACATACATAATTAATTATGCAAATTAGTAAGGCCGGTATTTTTTTTTCAAGAAAGGTGGCTACTCTTCACACACTCTTGCTTAAGAATGGAAACGTAAGAGGGATGTATGGGAACAAGGCTTGTGTGGACTGGCTGACAATGAAATTGGTTAAGGTAATGCTGACTTTGGTCTCTCTAACACTGTGGCATGTACCCTTTCTTTTACACTCACTACATACACCTTTTGTCTGTCTCAGTCTATATACCAGGAGCTTTTGCCTGCTAGTAAGAAGGTAAGGAGACAAGTGGACATGTGAGTGCTAGGGCACAGTCCTTAGAAAGCATGGAGCAAGCACATCATTAGACGCATTTATGCCGAGCACAGGGCTCAGGGTGCTGTCTGCATAGTATGCACATAGGGGAACAGAACAAACTTCGCCTCAAAAGCACTTGGGAGCCTAAACACCCACATCACTCCATCAAAACCTTCCCCAACCTGGTCAAAAATGATGTACAACGCACCCTCTCTCACCCTTACACTTAACCTCAGAATCTGACATGGATGTAGAGGAAGGCATTGAAGGATGTGGCTGACGACACCAACATTACAATCAGACCTGTGGACAAAGGTGGGGCCATCGTATTATAAGACTACCAAGCCTACAGATCGGAGATCCTCAGACAACTGGCAGATACATTAACTTACAAAAAGATCGCATTTGACCCTACAAGCAACATTATGGATAAATTACACACATTGGTCACCAGGACCTATCCACAGATTGGCTTGACGACCAGACAGCGAAGTTTCTCATAGACGTTCATCCGAAGATTCCGTTGTTATACACCTTACCGAAGGTTCACAAGGACACAGAAAACCCCCCTGGCAGACCCATTGTCTCTGCCAGAGGTGGCATCTTGGAACCTTTGGCCAAATACATAGACCATTATTGCAAAAAACCCACTGCATCTATTCCCACATGTCTCAGGGACACTCAAGATCTCCTGACACATCTTAATAATGTCATCCTCCCAGATGCGCCTATTATCTTTGCCACTGTGGATGTCAGAAATTTATATACAATCATCCCTCATTCAGCAGGCATTGAGGCGATGCGTAACATTTTATGGACATCAGACCAGTACACAGGACCACTGATTGAGTTCCTGTTGGAGTGTTTAGAATTTACTTTGAGCAACAATTATTTTCGATTTGAAAAATCATTCTACTTATGGCATACGGGGACAGCGATGGGTTCGGCCATAGCTCCGAATTACGCTAACTACTACGTGTATACATACGAACAACAGTATATATTATCGAAACAACAAACTGATCTACTACTATATCTCAGATATGTGGATGACATCCTTATGCTATGGTCCGGCCCATTGTCATGGTGGACACCATGATCAACACCGGACGACTCTCCCGTCCGCTTAAGTCTCACCTACAGTACAGACAGGATACAATTTCTAGATGTAGAATTAAATCGCACACGGAATTCTATTGGATATGCTTTATATAAGAAATCCTCAGACCGAAATCCTCAGACCGCAATACTCTCTTACACGCTACCAGTTTCCATCCCATTGCCCTCAAGAAATCACTCCTAATCTCTCAATTTCTCAGAGTTCTCAGAAACAATTCAGACCCTCACAATACCGAAACTCAAATCCCAGTCATGCAACGAGCTCTCTTGACATGAGGCTATTCTAAACCTACTTTGCAACATTCTTTGCAGAGAGCATATGAAATACACCATAAAAAAGTCCACGCCTGGAGTCAGAAACGTTGTACCTGAAGCACCTAAGATCACAATTCCGTTTCTATACCACACTGCTAGTGACAAGATCTCGACCACCATTAAAAAAAGACGGGACATCTTATCATCAGACCACACATTACACCCTGGGTTTACTCAACCCCTTGCATCGCCTTCTATCATGATAGAAACTTCAGGGACATTCTCGTTAAAAGTGACTAACCACACCAATATAAAATTAAGAAGCCACACACCAAAAAAGGTTGCTTTAAATGTGCCAATTGTGTAACATGTGGTCACATGCTCACTGGATCCTCTTTTGCTCACCTCCACTCGGGAAAACGGTATCCTATTTAGCATTATATTACTTGCCTTATTGACCACGTAATATATATGATTTTATGCCCCTGTGGCCTTTATTATGTGAGAAAAATGGACCTCACTCTACGGGATAGAATACGCGGCCACCGATCAGGAATCATGACTGCTTTCTGCGATGGTAGAACAGAAAAGCCGGTTGCCAAACATTTTTTAGATGCTCAACATCACCTCCCAACACTCAAATTCATGGCCATAGATCATGTCCCCCCCTTACTCAGAGGCAGTGACAGATCCAAGGCACTTCTTCAACGTGAGACATACTGGATCAAAATATTGGACACTGTGCATCCCAAGGGACTCAATAAATATATTTCATTTAACTCTTTTCTAAACACACGCTAATTTGGACTTTGATTTACATTATTCATTTTTATTTTTTATATACGTTTATTTTATATACACTTCTATTTACTTTGTATTTTTTTTTCTTCCTTCTTTATTTTTGCTTATTCTTTTTTTTATTATTATTTTTTTCTATCATGTTTTATTATTTTTATTTTGTTTTTCATTTTATTTCATTTTCACTTTTAGTATTGTTTTGGCCAATTTTTTCCTTTATTATTATTTGCATTTTACTTTTATTTTTTCTATTTTCTTATGTTTATTATGTCCCATTCATCTCTATTTTTATTTTTTGCTCTATTTCATATACTTTCATCATTCTCTATTTTTTGTTACTTGTTTAGAGTCCTTTTATGCACAGGCCATACTATCTACACCCCTCTCCTCTAGGCATTGGCGGACTACCTCCTGTATCTTCCATTCTATATAGTCTCAATATTCTACACATTAGCGGTCAAATCCTATTTTCATCTGTGTCCCAGATACCATTTTTTGGTTATAATTCAGTTGAAGACTTTGATAAATATAACTTGCTTTTCTCCCCTTCTTCATTGATTGTATAACTTATTTGATATATATTTAGTATCATGCTGTATTTATGTATATAGACCTTCACAATGCACAATTTCACTCACTCTACATTTTCATTTATTTGTTTCACATTCTCCTTGCATGTCACCATTGTCCACTGGTATTTCACATTTCAGTAGGTTGCTACACATCTTTTTCACTGTTATTCACATTACCTCTCTCTTTTTCTATATTCTCCGCTACACACTCATTCCTACATTTCTTTTTAAGTCTACTCTCTCTTCTATCTTTTTATTCACCTCCCTACACCACTCCTTCTATTCACAGCTCACACATTCCACTCTCCATGCTTCATCCACACATCGACACTCCATTTCTCTGGTCTTACACATTGCATAAGCTTTACTTTCTTATCTTTTCAGCATTGCAGATCTTTTTTCTATTTAGACTTATATCCTCCGCTTGATTTGTTTTTATAGACCCTTCACATTTTTCACATCATCATCTAGTCACTTTATTTTCATTACGCATCACTATGGTTTCTAGACGCGAGCACGATTATTTACATATTTCTCACGTCATCACGCACGTCTTCCACACATGTACGGTCACCTCTTCCGGTCCACACAGCATCCTGAACACGTATCTATTGGGTACACCTGCACTAGAGTAAGTGATTATTTGTTTATGGTTTACTCTGTATATAAACTGCATTTTTCTATTTGTACACATCTTGATAAAGACCTACTGGGTCAAAACATTGATCGTTCATCCTATCACCAATACACCTTAAGAAAATCCATTGAGTGCTCTCTTCATTCATTTTCTATATCATACCCGGTGCAGCAACGTGGTTTATTGAATACCAACCAGATTTAAGGTAGAGTGCCAGATTATTGCTTTTTTGTACTATATATATATATATATATATATATATATATATATATATATAATATGTTTGTGTGTGTGTATATATATATAAATATATATATACACTGCTCAAAAAAAGAAAAAGGGAACACAAAAATAACACATCCTAGATCTGAATGAATTAAATATTCTTCAGAAATACTTTGTTCTTTACATAGTTGAATGTGCTGACAACAAAATCACACAAAAATTAAAAACTGGAAATCAGATTTTTCAACCCATGGAGGTCTGGATTTGGAGTCACACTCAAAATTAAAGTGAAAAAACACACTACAGGCTGATCCAACTTTGATGTAATGTCTTTACAACAAGTCAATATGAGGCTCAGTAGTGTGTGTGGCCTCCACGTGCCTGTATGACCTTCCTCCAACGCCTGTGCATGCTCCTGATGAGGTGGCGGATGGTCTCCTGAGGGATCTCCTCCCAGACCTGGACTAAAGCATCTGCCAACTCCTGGACAGTCTGTGGTGCAACGTGACGTTGGTGGATGGAGCGAGACATGATGTCCCAGATGTGCTCATTTGGATTCAGGTCTGGGGAATGGGCGGGCCAGTCCATAGCATCAATGCCTTCATCTTGCAGGAACTGCTGACACACTCCAGCCACATGAGGTCTAGCATTGTCTTGCATTAGGAGGAACCCAAGGCCAACCACACCAGCATATGGTCTCACAAGGGGTTGAGGATCTCATCTCGGTACCTAATGGCAGTCAGGCTACCTCTGGCAAGCACGTGGAGGCTGAGCGGCCCCCCAAAGTAATGCAACCCCACACCATTACTGATCCACTGCCAAACCGGTCATGTTGGAGGATGTTGCAGGCAGCAGAACGTTCTCCACGGCATCTCCAGACTCTGTCATGTCTGTCACATGTGCTCAGTGTGAACCTGCTTTCATCTGTGAAGAGCACAGGGCGCCAGTGGCGAATTTGCCAATCTTGGTGTTCTCTGGCAAATGCCAAACGTTCTGCATGGTGTTGGATGTAAGCACAACCCCCACCTGTGGACGTCGGGCCCTCATACCACCCTCATGGAGTCTGTTTCTGACCGTTTGAGCAGACACATGCACATTTGTGGCCTGCTGGAGGTCATTTTGCAGGACTCTGGCAGTGCTCCTCCTGTTCCTCCTTGCACAAAGGTGGAGGTAGCGGTCCTGCTGCTGGGTTGTTGCCCTCTTACGGCCTCCTCCATGTCTCCTGATGTACTGGCCTGTCTCCTGGTAGCGCCTCCATGCTCTGGACACTACGCTGACAGACACAGCAAACCTTCTTGCCACAGCTCGCATTGATGTGCCATCCTGGATGAGCTGCACTACCTGAGCCTCTTGTGTGGGTTGTAGCCCTCGTCTCATGCTACCACTAGAGTGAAAGCACTGCCAGCATTCAAAAGTGACCAAAACATCAGCCAGGAAGCATAGGAACTGAGAAGTGGTCTGTGGTCACCAACTGCAGAACCACTCCTTTATTGGGGATGTCTTGCTAATTGCCTATAATTTCCACCTGTTGTCTATCCCATTTGCACAACAGCATGTGAAATTGATTGTCACTCAGTTTTGCTTCCTAAGTGGACAGTTTGATTTCACAGAAGTGTGATTGACTTGGAGTTACATTGTGTTGTTTAAGTGTTCCCTTTATTTTTTTGAGCAGTGTATATATATATATATATATATATATATATATATATATACATAATTATATATGCACACACACATAATATGTTTGTATTACACACACACACACACACATATACATATAATACATGTATATATATATATATATATATATATATATATACACACACACACACTATCCTATATATGTATATTTTTATAATAATTAAAGCATTTTATAATAGATTATACATATATAATGCATATATATGATTTCATTATTTTGACCACATCATCCTCTTTATGCATGTTGTCTTACTCCAAGCTGTATAGGCTTGAAAGCCTACTACCAATTAAGCATATTAGGTGATGTGCATCTCTGTAATGAGAAGGGGTGTGGTCTAATGACATCAACACCCTATATCAGGTGTGCATAATTATTAGGCAACTTCCTTTCCTTTGGCAAAATGGGTCAAAAGAAGGACTTGACAGGCTCAGAAAAGTCAAAAATAGTGAGATATCTTGCAGAGGGATGCAGCACTCTTAAAATTGCAAAGCTTCTGAAGCGTGATCATCGAACAATCAAGCGTTTCATTCAAAATAGTCAACAGGGTCGCAAGAAGCGTGTGGAAAAACCAAGGCGCAAAATAACTGCCCATGAACTGAGAAAAGTCAAGCGTGCAGCTGCCACGATGCCACTTGCCACCAGTTTGGCCATATTTCAGAGCTGCAACATCACTGGAGTGCCCAAAAGCACAAGGTGTGCAATACTCAGAGACATGGCCAAGGTAAGAAAGGCTGAAAGACGACCACCACTGAACAAGACACACAAGCTGAAACGTCAAGACTGGGCCAAGAAATATCTCAAGACTGATTTTTCTAAGGTTTTATGGACTGATGAAATGAGAGTGAGTCTTGATGGGCCAGATGGATGGGCCCGTGGCTGGATTGGTAAAGGGCAGAGAGCTCCAGTCCGACTCAGACGCCAGCAAGGTGGAGGTGGAGTACTGGTTTGGGCTGGTATCATCAAAGATGAGCTTGTGGGGCCTTTTCGGGTTGAGGATGGAGTCAAGCTCAACTCCCAGTCCTACTGCCAGTTCCTGGAAGACACCTTCTTCAAGCAGTGGTACAGGAAGAAGTCTGCATCCTTCAAGAAAAACATGATTTTCATGCAGGACAATGCTCCATCACACGCGTCCAAGTACTCCACAGCGTGGCTGGCAAGAAAGGGTATAAAAGAAGAAAATCTAATGACATGGCCTCCTTGTTCACCTGATCTGAACCCCATTGAGAACCTGTGGTCCATCATCAAATGTGAGATTTACAAGGAGGGAAAACAGTACACCTCTCTGAACAGTGTCTGGGAGGCTGTGGTTGCTGCTGCACGCAATGTTGATGGTGAACAGATCAAAACACTGACAGAATCCATGGATGGCAGGCTTTTGAGTGTCCTTGCAAAGAAAGGTGGCTATATTGGTCACTGATTTGTTTTTGTTTTGTTTTTGAATGTCAGAAATTTATATTTGTGAATGTTGAGATGTTATATTGGTTTCACTGGTAATAATAAATAATTGAAATGGGTATATATTTGTTTTTTGTTAAGTTGCCTAATAATTATGCACAGTAATAGTCACCTGCACACACAGATATCCCCCTAACATAGCTATAACTAAAAACAAACTAAAAACTACTTCCAAAAATATTCAGCTTTGATATTAATGAGTTTTTTGGGTTCATTGAGAACATGGTTGTTGTTCAATAATAAAATTAATCCTCAAAAATACAACTTGCCTAATAATTCTGCACTCCCTGTATATCTCAAAGTACACTTATAGTGAAATCATATATATGCATTATATATGTATAATATATTAAAAATGCTTTAATTATTTTATAATATATTATACATTTATATGTATAATACATTTATTTTATTTATTTATTTTTACTAACAGCTCAGACAGTCCCCCTGCTGGCAGCTTGTAGACTCCTATTGCGGCAATGTGATCATGGTGATTACATGGCCCTGGAGTGCCAGGGTGGCCGGAGCTGCTGCAGAGGGACTGCTGGGGTTTCCGGCATTCCCCCGACCGTGATCTCTGCGGATCTCCAGTCCAGGTAAGTCCAGGGCTCCTATTTGCCACGCCTGCGGCCCTTAACAACCGTTTTTTTTGTCGGACATAGACTTGAGATTTTGCAATACTGAAAATTTAATTCTGCTCATCTTATTTCCCCATATAAATTAAATAACAGCAGATTGAACTGTTTTAAAGAATGTCTTTGGAATTGACAAGGGAATAGTTCTCACAACTTATTCCAGTTTTCAATTTCCCTTTGTAATATTGGCCAGGCTTAAATGTGTGCATAATGTTTACATTTTTGCATAGTTTTATTCCAAGGTAATCAATGAATGAGTCTCTCCAGTCAAAGTCGGATTTAATTTTCAAATCATTCAGATCACACCAAGGAATGTGTATAGGTAGAGCCTGCGTTTTCCAGTATTGAGCCTGTAAAATGAGACTTTTCTAAACTCCTATAGTATAGAATTTAGGGAATCAACTGAAGTTTTGGGTTCTGCCAAAGATAGGATAATATCATCCGCAAAGAGACCTATTTTATATTCAGTATTTTTTACTGAAATTCCCATTCCTTAAGCCACACCAGGATTTGTCAACATCCCTATTGAAAGAGAACTGGCAAATGATAAAATCAACTGGTTAGTCTACCTGATGCAAAGATTGCATACAAAGGTCTGTGACCACCACCCCTTTTATTACTTTACTTTGTTATTATATTATTATTACTTTGTTTAGCAAGCTTGTGATGAAAGCAATGAGTTCCACAGAACCCAAGGGTATCTCACTGCTTTTTTATATTGTATAGTCAGTGGTGAATGTTGTAGCTGGCAATAACCTTGATTTTATTTCCTTTCATGAATGTACAGTCTCTAATCTCTGCAACACTCCATTTACTTTCTCAGATCACCACATCTTATTATTTGCTCGCAATAGCCCACTACCCCATCATCCTCAGCCTAACCCCCTTCAACTCAGAAGAAACCTGGATTCTATAGACCTCCAGCAGCTGTCAGCTGATATTGATTCCCAACTTCTATCAATCCCTACTTTCTCCTGTCCCTCACTGGCTATTTCCTCATATGACACTACCCTCACCTTTTCCCTGGATGCTGCAGCCCTGCTCCAAACATGCACCTAATGGAGAACACTCCCCCAACCGTGGCACACTAAGTCAACATGTTACCTGCAGAGATGCTTCAGTTCTGCTGAACGCTGCTGGAGGAAGTCACGCACCCAGTCAGACTTCCGCCACTACAAATTCATGTTGCGTTCAAACAGCACAGCTCTTGCCCTTGCCAAACAGTTATATTTTTTCTCCCTCATTAGCTCATGCTCCCGCAATCCCAGGCGTCTCTTTACTACCTTTAACTCCCTTCTTTGCCCTGCTGTGGCCACCCACCAAACTAACCTTACAGCCAACAGCTTTGCATGCTTCACACATCTTCAACTGCTCTCTCTTCTGGCGTTGTCCCTGTTGCCCTTAAACATGCTACTGTAGTACCCATCTGAAAACAAACATCTCTTGACCTCTCCTCCCCTTCTAACTATTGTACCTTATCCCTGCTCCCTTTTTCCTCAAAGCTTCTGGAACATCTTGTCTTTACCCGTCTGGCTTGTTTCCTCAATTCCAACTCTCTCCTTGACCCTCTTCAATCTGGTTTCTGCCCCTCCACTCTACTGAGACTGCTCTTATTAAAGTCACTAACAACCTAATCACAGCTAAATCAAAAGGGCACTACTCCGTTCTAATTTTTCTTGACCTCTCAGCCTTTGACACTGTTGACCATGTTCTCCTTCTCCAAACTCTTCAATCACTCAGTATCTGTAACACTGTTCTCTCTTGGTTTTCATCCTTTCTCTCCCAACACTCATTCAGTGTTTCCTTTTCAAATAATACCTCCTCCCTTCGTCCAGTCTCTGTTGGAGTCCCCCAAATCTCTGTACTTGTACCCTTCTATTGTTTCTTTATACTGTCCCTCTTGGCAAACTTATTACCTCATTTGGATTCCAATTCCACCTGTACGCTGATAACACCCAGGTATACCTTTCCTCTCTGGACCTCTCCCCTGCGCCGTTCTGCAACGTGTCACTGCCTGCCTTTCTTCCATCTCTGATTGGATGTCCTCCCGCTGTTTGAAACTCAATATCTCTAAAACTGAACTTCTTGTCTTTCACAATACATCCTCCTCTAATACATCCTCCTCTCTCTCTCTCCCTTCAAGTAGGCGGTACCCACCAGGGCCGGACTGGCCCACCGGGATAGCGGGAAATTTCCCGGTTGGCCGTCGGCACCTGGGGCCGGACAGATAGCTGTCACCATGACAGACAGATACCATGACAGACAAACAGACAGACACACACCATGACACAGACACATACACTGACATACTGACACATATTATAGCTACCTGTGGGCGACCGGCCAGGGAGTCATGCAGGGCAGATAGCTGGGTCAGGTGTGCTGGTGGCCGCAGGGGGGAGCTGGCTCCTGGCGGTTCTGGCGGCCACA